AGAGAGAGAGAGAGAGAGAGAGAGAGAGAGAGAGAGAGAGAGAGAGAGAGAGAGAGAGAGAGAGAATCTCAACCTAGCCTCATTTGAGAACCTCTGAAAAATCCACTGCATAAAAAAATTGGAGGACAGTAATGCCCGAAGCATAACTGTGATAGACATCAGAGCAAAGACAAGTTGATCGAAATGTCCACACACTCAGCTGAATGAACACAGAAAACAGTACACTGGTGCAACAATGGATGGTAAATCTCCCTCCTGAAAACTGTACATTGGTTGAGCAGCGGGTAAAACTACAGTTTAGTACCTCCCACAAGAATTACTTCTGTGTATCCACCCTTGCACAACTGTGCCGTATGCTCCAGTGAACCGACTAGATGGATAGACTGCAGCTGGGAGTAGCTGCAATCAGGTCAGGCCATGGAGCTCCAAGTCTTTTCACAAGAAGGGAAGAGCAAACACAAAGTGACTGTGTGGCACCTTCGCACGAGGTAAATGTGCACCACTTTGGTTTTCCTCTTGAACTACCTCTACCACTACCTCCTCAAAAATCAGGCTAGCACTTACATATAGGGCCAAAAAACTGTCCCCAACGTATCAGCGATCTAACCAAAGACACCATTTTTTCAGCAGCAGCAGCTGCGTGATCTTCCTCTTAAACCACAAGTGTTTTTCCCAGCCATTGTTCTCCGACGCAGCCGTTAACATGCCGCGACTTTCGGCGCACAACCAACCAGAGCTAAATGGCTGGCCGCGCCAATGTTTCTAGGCTCAGCAAGGGAAGGGTTACAAGTACTGGCGGTTCAAGTTATACCATTATGCACTGAAGAATTGGGCCGATGCTCATGGACAGGAAAAGAAAGCTGCAGATCCATCAGCCGACATCACTTTTCTACAGCGGCAGCATGGTGATCTTCCTCTTTAACTACCCAACTACCTACTGAAGAATCAGGTCGATGCTTGTAGACAGGAAAGGAAAGCAAATTGCAGCTGTCGAGCACTGACAACCCGGAGAAGCAACGAAAGGGTATCAGTGCCGCTTTAACCATCATCTATATCTGTATATTATCTATCATCTATGTCAGTGTTGGCGAGACAAACGGTAAGCCAACTTCCTTGGCTTTGACGTAAAAGCCCTCGAGGTCATAAAACTCCCGTTCCTTTGGAAGAAAGATATGCACAATAACGTCACCTGCAGTCAGACAGAGATCGATTGCACAGGCAAAGGGATAAGGAAAACCGTTTCAGGCACAAGGTGGAACTAGACAAGCAAGGTAAATCTGGACTTCAAATTTTTTCCATACTTGCACATTAGAGTCGTACGATGACTACTGTCTTCACCCGAATAGAACGCTCGGTCATTATAGCTGTATTTTTGGGGCAGCTGTCAGTCCAGGCATTCTATTCCGTGGTGAAGACAGTAGACAGTGTGAGTGCCTCCTCGCTTCCTTCCTTACCTCCGTTCCTTCACCGAAGCAAAGGAGGGAGTGGGCGGAAAAGGGGGGAAATAGAAAGCAGAGAAGGGGCATGCTTTATCCCAGACCACCAAACCACCACCATCACTGCAATACCTGACACAGACGTTAACTAGCAAGCCAAGGGGTTGCAGTGTCAAAATGGTATCTTCCTCCTCCAACATTTTGGTGTAAGCTCTTTGTGTTATCACAATGAATGAAATCATTGAAATGCCAACCCCAGCCATGTCTCTTTTGGTGCTTAAAAAGAAGCTGAATACCCGTAGGCAGGAGTCATCACAATGAATGAAATCATTGAAATGCCAACCCCAGCCGTTTCTTTTGGTGCTTAAAAAGAAGCTGAATACCCGTAGGCAGGAGCACAAACATACAGCATAACAAGACAACAAAATGGCGATGACATCATGACGGGGCAAAAGTTATCCAGTCACCCAGGGATCTATAACACGGTCAGTACAGTACTTGGTTTTAGCCAGTACAGTGTGAAATGAACCAGATTGTTTAGCATTATCAGATTCTCATACACAGAACCTCCTGTAAGGCATTAGACGCTAGAACATTTCAGATCTGCCCACCGTCTCCTCCACATGTTAGTACCAGAACGCCGCAGGTCTTCCCGATGTCTATGTTAAGTCCTGGTGGACACACAGCATGCTCTCTCTCTCTCGTCGTGTTCTTCCCCCCCCCCCCCCCCCCCCCTCTCCTCTCTCTCACACACACACAATCAGTTTTATGTATGTCCTTTTTCTGTAAGTACTTTCTATGCATGTATGTGAGCACCTTTAAGAAGTG